CCCCAAACCAAAAACTAGTCCCTAGTAATCTTTTTAATACAAGCTGGCCAGAAAAATCTACTTGGTGCTTGTTACTCCAAGCAGTTTTCTATGCAAGAAGAGAGCATCTAGCTGGCAGATTAACTAAACTGTTAGGTGAACTTGGGAGGAACGTGTTTTTGTTTTGGGCCAGCATGGCCCAATAAAGTAAAATAAGCTATACTCCTGATACTTAATACTGCTGTGAGGACAGATGCATAACGTATTTAATAATAGAGCTGCCTTTTTAGGAAGGCCTTTTCTGCCAGTCCCTGGTATCTGATTTGCAATAGGGAAGTTAGCCTGTGTCAGGTTGACTTAAGACTAACAATGGAGTTTCAAGTAGCACAATGAGGCTTGCTTTTTTTTTCCCTCCTACCCCCAACACTTGAGCACTGCAAACAAGATTTCTAGGAGAAACAGTCACAGAACGGATGGACTTCTGTCAGTTTTATATTGGAGCTTATGTAGTTTGCTGTGCTGAATCTGAGGGTTTGTGCTCAATATTTTTTACACTGTAAATGCATTGGCTTAGGAGTGTTCAGTAATACAACCTCTCCTGTAAATATACTTACAGTGGTGCACAGGCTTTTTAGGAAGAGATGTCCTGCAACAGGACTGTCATTAAGTGGGGTGGCCCCTTACAGGACAAGATGCTGAAAAGGTAAGGGGTGTGAGGCTTCACCATAACATACAGGACAAGATGCTGAAAAGGTACGTTATGGTGAAGCCTCACACCCCTTACCTTTTCAGCATCTTGTCCTGTATGTTATGGTGAAGCCTCAGCAGGAGTAGCTTTACAAAAGGAGTTCAAAGGAGGCATACTTTGCAGATGAAGGGAGAAAGTAAATGCTTGGTGTTGAGTGGGAGGGAAGCAAAATTTGAGAGAGCATGGTTACTTGAAAGCCAAGACTTAATGAGGTTGCAGCCATTGTGCAAGTACTACCCAAATCCTTGCCTTGTGTATGAAATCTTTGAAGGAGGGTGGTGCCTTCTAAAGAGTAAATGACCAACCCCTTGAGCAACTACTAAAACTTGCAGAGCTGCCTCTAGAACAATGCAGAAAGGGGAGATTTGCATGCATGTTGATAATCAACTACCCTGTCTCAGATGACTTCAGGCTAACCACAAAATGAAAGTGCTTACTAGAGGCATTTTCACCTTCCCTGTTACTTCACTACTCCCTTATGACAGTTCCCTTGTTATCTTTTCCCAGTGCATAAAATTACACCAAACACCTTGAAACTGGGCAAAAGGCTACTGTCAACGTGCACTATTTTGCAATCAAGTCCAGAATCTGCCTTGGCTGCCTTTTTTGTTTTTTCTTGCTTTATTTCTCTAGGTTAGCTCTTGCACTTCATTCACTGCATGTTTTCCGTGTTGGTCCCAGTTGTGCTTAACTAAATCAAGTCAGCTCTTTAAATCTTCATTCCCTTTTACTAGTTTTAATTTATTCTTGCTTTAAGATGCCTCCTAGACCCTATAGCCACAATTATCTTGTGTACAATTACCTAGAACTACCTCATGATGGCTGGGGGACTTGGCCTCTGGCTTTCAAACACCTTTGACACTACACCCTGGCATGAATGTTTCCAGTCTGTAATTCAACCCAAAGTCTGCCTTCATGAATTCATTACACCAGCATCATGTGCTTCTGGTTGTCAACAAGAGCTGGAGCTGACTAGTTACTGCTGTGCACCAAGTTACATTGAGCAGAAGCTTCTGGGCACTGCAGTATCCATACTCTAGAATGGATTAAATTAATTAAGATTAAAGTGATTCTACTGACATTAGGTTCCTTATTAGCTATAGGCTATTTTATTATTTTTAGAGTTGCTAAGCACCTTGTGCACATGCAAGCTTGGGTGGGTGCTTGAAAGGCTCTGCTGCCTGTGTTACCCCTGATAAAGTTTAGCTCAATTTCTTTGGGACGTACCTCATACTGACTCCAGTTACTGAAGAGTTTCTGGCAGGAGGGGTTTCTACATAGGTGATGAGTGAAAGAAGAAAGGTTTCTAAGCCTCTCAAGCTAGTCCATATCCGCCCCTAATGGGTTAACATCCCCTCCCCTTAATCATCAGCAAAAATGCATTTAATGATCGTACTCTGGCTTTTTCCTTGTATGCTGCTTAGGAAGATGCTTATGGGACTGTGACTGCTAATCAGATTAACTCCTATTGAAGATTAAGTCTTTCTAAAACAGCGCACACAGCGCTTCATCCTGAAAGCAAACTGCTGTCTGTGCTACATTCCTAATGAAAACTATACTAATTTTTGATGGCAACTGCAGTTCAAAGTGTGTTGGAAGTAGAACTGGCTTTTGGGCCCCAAATGCAAACCTCCCAGTTAAATCAGAATTGTGAAGGGCTTGCCTGCTTGTGAGGAATAGCTGCTGTGCTTTCAGCCTGCCTCCGGTTTTAATCCAGATGAATTCCCAGGGATAGATCTGGGCCATTGGTTATAGCCGTGTTGGTCTAAGGACACAGGCAGGTCAACGTGACATTGGGTGATTGTGCCTGAAAGCTTGCAAGACCTTTTTTCCAGCTGGGCTAACGAGATACTGCGTCCAGCCAAAGAGCCTTGCCTGCCAAGGCTAGATTGACAGTAAGCAGGCCAAATTTTCTGTGGGTAAGGAGAGTTTCCTCCATACCAGTGGGAGTTGTGTGCGCCAGTTATGGGTCTTGCCATGTCTTTAAACCCTGACTGCCTTTGAAACCTTAGCGATGGGACTTGCTCAGAAGTGTAACTGAATCCAAACGGGTGTAAGGGGTGGTTTGCAAAGCCTGGTGGAGGCCTAGACCGTCTTCCACCCATGCTACTGGAGAGGCCAAAACAAGCCCAGCCCAGCTGGAGATCGGGACAATAGAGGCTCCAGCTGCAAGGCCTGAAGGGAAAGGCCCCGTGTGGGAGGACTGCCACCTCATGGCCCCGGTGGAGAAGACAGAAGCCACGTGTGAGTCTCGGTGGTAGATCTGCACCTTGCAGGCTCCATCAGGGCCGTGTCGCACGAGCTTCCGGAGCCTGAGTTTGCTTCCTTCAATGCTGAATGTGACCGGCCTCTGCTTGAGGCTGCCCTTGCGGGCTCCTTTGCAAAACATGACAGCTGATGGCACCTGGCCCAAATCTCACACAGGCGGCTTGTGCTCAAGGGCACAATTTTGGGGCAGATTTTCAAGAGGAGCTCAGCCTCCAACTACTTGAGAGAGAGGCCCAGGTTGGCAGAAGAAATTGCATTTGGCGCTGGTACTGGGGGAGCTCTGAGCTACCTAGAGGCAGGGCCTCAGCTCCTTCTGCTCCGTTTGTGATGGGGACCCTCGTCCCCCAAAACAGGCTGAGGCCACCGAAGCCTTTACGCGGTTATCACTAACACGCGGTCTGAAATTCAGATGAGAAGGCCGTGGTGGTGCTTGCTTGGGCACGCACTTTATGCCAAGTTAGGTAGCGACTACTCGTGATTAACGCGATGATTAGGGTTTGGGAAGACTTGAAAGGGCGACTTGGAGCGCTTGGCGTTTTGGGGACGTGCTTTCACGTGCCAAAACCTGAAAGCCCGTGGGCGTCGGCACGTAAGAATAGTAATGCGAAGCCGGGGGGTTACAGCTGTATACGACGGGGAAGGAGGAGGCCTCAAGACGCCAGCGAGCCCGGGCGGAGAAGATCCTGGAGCACCCGGAACCTTGGCGCCGCTGCGCGTCCCCGGCCGGGCCCCGCAGCGCGCCGCACCAGCCTGGCCACTTCCGGCGGGAGCTCCCCGCG